AAATATATGTATTTATATATTTATAGTGTATATATATTTATATATATATATATATCTATAGCATTTATATATTTATATTTTTATATTAAGTGATACTATTCATAAATACTATGGTTTCTGTACGAATCTAAAGTAAGCTTACAGCATCCTATAAGAATTCTATGTTATTCCTGCAAGATCTTTAAAAATATTCTTGTAGATCTTAATTTTTCCTATTAGAATTCCTTTAAATTTTACAAGATCTTTCAGAAAGATTCTTGTAGGTCCTGCAGGGACTTGTGCAACTTATTCTATAGGATTCTTGTAGGATCTGTAAGATCGGCAATCTAGGGATACTGATGCTTTTTATTCGTGTACGTTAACATTCACATACAAAGCAAATAAAAGAAAATATTAAAAACAAAAATAACAAAAGCAGTGTCTTTACGATCATCTTTAAAAAAAGTCAAATACAATTAAGTAAAATATTTCTGTTGACTGAGATGTTTCAGTTGCGCATTCATATTTCCTCCGATCAGTGTAATATTAATAATCTATGCAGTGTAATAAAAAAATCTTGTGTTTTCAGAAATGGAAATGCTTTGCCAGCATCAGTACTATAGTCGCAAATGTGTAATACTTATCAAACAGCTATTTTCATAGCTAAAAATTTAAATAACTAGATTTTTGGTTAAGAACAAATATTTAACTTATTTTAATCAGTTATTGTTTTTTCTTCTTACATGAAAAGGTTTGATTTTTAAACAAACTAATATAAAAATTAGGAAGATTCTTATTTTGACTTTTACTAAAGTGATTATAGAGGAGACAATATCCATTGATAATCTAATAAAAAAAAAATTTTCCACTCTACGAAATAAAGTTTTACAAAAGAAATGATTTAAAGTAATTTCTTTTTTCTAAACTTCTGGAAAAACCGATGTATCATCAACCATCCATTCTTCTGTATGCCGACTAACATTTCTACAAAGAGGTCGAATCATAAGTTAAGATTTTATAATATTATCATCGAACCTGGTGATTTTAAGGTTGAGATTATCTCTATTAAAATCTATAGTTTGCTGCTTACCAAAATGGTTTTCTAGTACATATTGAGAAAATACTTCGATTAATACATAAGAAAACCCTACGCCTAATGCGTATTGAACACACTCAACTAAAGAGATTACAGTTCTAGATTATTCTTTAAATATTTGATTTGATATGAACATTTTATAGAGCTCTCTTTGAGAGATTTTTTTTGCCCTTTTTTATGCTTTCCTTTCAATCAACAACATATTAAAAAAAAGTTTTTTAGCTAGTAAAACCTTTTATCTGAACCATCAGCATAAAATTTCAGAAATACTTTACTTTTTTGATGCAGTCTTTAGTGTTTGTAACATTACAACAATCAAATTTTTTTTTCATTTAACACGCAGAAATGTGCTGTCTATGAGGCTTCATCTGATCCGCATTCAAGCAATGTGTTTCCAACTGTGGTACTTAAAATTTAAACTGCTAATTTTACATTAATAACAGATTTTGTATTTAAACTATATTTTCTCAAATAGGTTTTGAAAAATAATTATAATTGCATTCTATATCTTCATAGTAAAAAATAGTTACGTGGCTCCACAACAAATATTTTCCATTATTTCACATATATCTTGAACAACGGTTAGACCCAGAGTTGCTCTAACAGTTCCTTGATGTTTTGATAAGATGAATAGGATCAGGAAAAGACCATACATATTGTTCATCGTTGATGTTTTGTTTAATACTATAACTGTTCTGTATAGTTCTGAATAGTTTCATATAAGATGAAATTTAAAGTAAATTTTTCGAGACTGTGGATCATCCCTCAGGATCTGAGATCCTAAGGAATGTTTTTTCCAACTGATACTGCAATTTTTTTATTGGTCCTATAAGTTGGGCAACTTACTTTTTTAGATATTTATGTTCAGATCTTTGATTTTGGCGGGTAAGAAGTAATCTTTCGATGTAGTGTGTTTAACAGGAGCTTTAATGCTGGATTGTTTAATTTTTAATTTGTTTAATTTTTCATTTTTTTTTTGCATTAATCCTTTTATTACTATTTATAGTGAATAAGTTTCACTCTTTACAAACTTTTAGAATTAGACTGATTGAATTTTTAGAATATTGTTGAAAACCTGAAAGTTTTATTTGTATGACTAAAATCATTATCACATCTTTCATCCATGTAATCAATTAAAAATAATTTGTTAACAACATGTCTTTTTACAAGCGAAAATTTTTATATTTTAATTAAGAAACTGTAATATCATGACTGAACAATGTTAGATGCAAGAGCGGCGTCTACATTAAAAAAATATTTGTTAAATTCTTGAGATGTATATTTTTAATTTTTTGTAGCTTTGCTGTTAATAATTACTTTTTTTGGTAAGCAAGAGAACTTCTTTTTCTCTCTTCCGGTTACTTCATTTTTAATAGACCAAGTTTTCTTGATATCAAACTTATTTTTATCCAACTGGTTAGAACTTAATTTTAGCTTGTTTATGTTTTATACCCTTTTTCGTTATTTTCTTTTTTACATTTTAGCTTGTTTATGTTTTATACCCTTTTTCGTTATTTTCTTTTTTACATTTTAGCTTGTTTATGTTTTATACCCTTTTTCGTTATTTTCTTTTTTACATTTTAGCTTGTTTATGTTTTATACCCTTTTTCGTTATTTTCTTTTTTACATTTTAGCTTGTTTATGTTTTATACCCTTTTTCGTTATTTTCTTTTTTACATTTTAGCTTGTTTATGTTTTATACCCTTTTTCGTTATTTTCTTTTTTACATTTTAGCTTGTTTATGTTTTATACCCTTTTTCGTTATTTTCTTTTTTACATTTTAGAAATTTTATATAAAGTTTTTGTTTTCTTTTTATGATTTTATCAAATTATTTGTCAATTATTGGTTTTTAAGTTTTTTTTTCTTTTTTTTTTTGATGATTTTATCAAATTATTTGGCAAGCACAGGTTTTTAAGTTGTTTATGTTTTCTTTTTGATGATTTTATCAAATTATTTGTCATGCATAGGTATTTAAGTTGTTTTTGTTTTTTTCATTTCAGTTGTTAATTTTGAGCAGACGTTGTCATAAAAATTTTGAAAGTTTTTAAAAAGGATCTGGGTTTCCACTGCGAGTTGTGGGAATTGTATTAGTTGTTGTTCTAGGTGTTATTCAAAGTGTTGTTGACATTTTGAAAAGTATTTGAAATATTGTTAAACAGCTATTGGGGTCTTCAGTGAAATAGACGTTTTCCCATCGCACTTCATACAGCTTCTTTTTAAGTTTATCTAGGTTTGTAAAACAAACATTTCGTTAAGTAACAAATATTTTTTTATTGCTGTCGTTAGATGAAGCTCGATGTGCATTATGGTATATCGGTAAATGTTCAGAGAAATCTGTAATAAAAATACCAGATTCAAAATGAATCTGGTATTTTTAAAATCTGCAAAATTATTAGTGTAAATACTATCAATTGCAGACGAAGTAGTTTTTGTAATACGAGTAGGCTTAAAAACGGTAGATAAAATTTTAAATTTAAGTAATAAATTAAAAAGTTTTTTTATTTACAAATTTTTTGTAACACAGTGCATCCAAGTATAAATCATCAGCGAAAAAAATAGGCTTATTCTGAATACTCATTTGCTATATAATGGTTCTAAGGCTATTATGAAAATTAATTTTGTAACCATAGGTCAACTAACAATATTACGGGATTTAGCTTGAAAAGTAACAATAAAGACCGTTTGATGCAAAAAAGTTCTGGATTGTGAGAGATTTCTAGAACTAAACACAGTTTTCGAGAAATTCGTAAAGAATGAAATTTTTAATTAATTATCTCGAAAGTTGTCGTAATATCAGAATTTTCTTTTATTTCTCAAAACATTTGAACGTTTTTTTAAATAAGGACGATTTTTATGCGAACTTAAGGTTTCGTTATTTTTATAATAAAAATTAATGACGGAAGACAGAAAAAAATGACGAAAGCTATCAGTCATCAAACAATAATGTTTTATCTAAATGTTCATTTGATCAGTTTTCAGGTAAAAAAATTTTAATAATATTTAAAATTTATTATTCATTGACAGGTCTCAGGTCACGTGACCGTGGCAAAACGGCTTACAATATAATTTGGCAAAATTTACAATGTAATGGGGTAATATATATATATATATATATATATATATATATATATATATATATATATATATATATATGTATATATATATATATATATATATATATATATATATATATATATATATATATATATATATATATATATATATATATATATATATATATATATAAATATATATGTATATATATATATATATATATATATATATATATATATATATATATATATATATATATATATATATATATATATATACATTTATAGAGCATTTGAAAGGAGTTCACGCCTTACAGATGTTATAAAACTTGCCCAGGCGTGGCGTCGAACCTCGAATATCTAGCTTCTGAGTCAAACGTGCTAAACGCTGCGCTATGGCTGCTCTACAGCAGCTGTTTGCAGTCACTTGCACTTCTGCTTGCACTTCACTTCTTGATAATATGGATCGTTGTTAAAAAGTTATCCAGTCAACTTTTAAGAAAATAACCTACTACGATTACAACTTAATAAGGTTGCAAACAACATTTTAAAAATTTATTTTTTAATGCAAAGGCGCCATTTTGACTTGCCGCTGAAATAATTATATTACTAAGACTGTACCACAACTTTAGGGTTTTCTCTTTCCAACTGATCTATTATACCTCCTTGCTGAATAGGGAAGAGAACAAATGTATAAAGAAATAAAGGAAAGGAAAAGTTGGTAGTAGGTAGTCAAAATAGATCAAAAACACTCGGCAAATACACAACTATATATATATATATATATATATATATATATATATATATATATATATATATATATATATATATATATATCCTTAAATATCATATAAACAGTGAAAACATGTTGTTTTAATCAGTTTTTTATTAGACATCTTTATACAGTATCGTTAGACAGTTTTATCATTAGACGGCTTGATTACATTATATCAATTGCTTGTCATATTGTGTAGAGGAAGTAATTACTTTAGTAGAATATTATTTAATTTAAAAACTTCCACTTTCCAAAAGCTTCTTTTGATTTTTTAAGTTTTTTAATATTTCTTCATTTTTTGACTTTTGTTGTTTTATATTCCAAATATCAAATCCTAGTCCAAAACAAATACAAAGAAATATTATTCCTAAAAGAATCTGGTACAAGTTATTTTTTGTAAACATATCAAATATGGAATCTATGTGTATATTGTCTGTGTGGCAATACTTTCGAAATTGATCAACAGAGCGAATATAAACTTCATCAACATATTTGTTCATGCAGTTAAATGCATTTTTAGCACTCTGAGACAAATTCATAGTAATCAGACAGTTTATGTACAAAGTTGCAGGCAAAATTTTCACTACTCGAAGAGGTACTGGATTGCTATCATCTTCTATTTCCGCTTGATACCATGCAGTTACATCAGCATTCATAAGTGCGGCAAACACCTTTTTGTTGCGTACTAAATCAAGAGCATTTTCGTAAGAATCGGCAGGAACTGCGATTGCACCATGTACATTTTTTGCAGCGTGATATTCAAAAGAGCTTTGAATTACAGAAACCTCCTTTTTATAAATGTCTAAATATTTTAAACTTGTTATTGCTTCTGTTAGAGTTGCAGTTATAAGACAACCTAAAATAACACTAAAAAGCATCCATATGGAAGCAACTATGCGACCAATTATTGTTTTAGGCACAATGTCACCGTATCCAACTGTTGTCATAGATACCACACTCCACCACATACCAGTAATTGTTCCTTGAATAAAAAAAGTTGAAAACAAATTATTTGATCTAGCTTCAGCAGCCCATATTGAAAACCCGAAGATCACTGAAAGCATTAAAATGAGGATTAGAATTTGTCGGCAACCTAAAATTCCGCGGGATAATTTATAAGGTAGAGAAATCATATCGCGACGAACTATAACTGCAATTCCATCAGATTTAAAAAGCTGAAATGAACGCAAACCTCTAAAAATCTCGTGACTTTTATTTATCAAGTTGGTGTCATCAGGGAACCAGACAGCTTTGTTTTGAGAAACCTTTTCAAGTTCGTTTGTACCATATTTTGTTTTTGAAGTTAATAGATCTAAGTATTGCTTTCGTGAGGGAAGAAGAGCCGTAAAGTTTAACAACGTTTCATTGCGACAATAATATTCTCCTTGTTTAAATATCATCGGAATTATACCATCTATATATCCGTCAGCAGTTTGGAATATAAAAGGTCTTACTTCCCAAAAAATCCCTTGAAGTTCTATTGCTGTGTTAATATGTGTTGAAGATATGCACAAAATAAGTAAGTTTACATACATTTTAATTACTGCAAAAAATTTCATTTCATGAATAATACTTGACAAAAACTTTTTGTTAAGTTTAAAACATAAGTTTTATTTTTGAAGTTTTCAATATACGCTTATCTATCCTATCACTGGAAAATTAAAAATAAAAGCCAAACAGGTTTACGATTAGTAAAATAATTAATAAAGTGCTTATAAAGATTTCTTTATTTTAAGCTCTTTTTGCATATTTGCTCGCTGATAACAATATCTGATTGTGATCATAACAGGTGTTTTTTTTTTTTTTTTGCTTTGTTTATTTATTTTTTAATTTTGTTAATAATAAAAAAAAAATTACACCTTTTATTATTTATTACCATCTAAATTAAGCCAATGATACTTTGAACTGACCGATATCTCTACATTTTCATTCAGCATATTTACAAACATACCTTGAAACATGCCTAGTGCTTCTACAAACATACTTCGAAACATGCCTTGTGCTTTTACATACAATGCACCTACATAAAGATTTTTAGCAAAATTTATTTTACTTTTTAATTTAGTATTATTTTTAGTTAAATGAAATAAAATCAAAATATATGCTACGTAAAATATGATATTAATAAAAATTAAATTTTCCCCAAAACAAGAGAGTGAAAAATATTTCATTAAATAAGTTTTTCTAAAATATTTAGTTGTTATTATACTTTTAACATCTATACACAATTTAAGACCAATTGGATAACCACCGTGATTAATGTTAAAAAGTTTTACAGTTAACAAAATTAAAAACATAAATTATTTTTTAACCGCATCTTAAAGACCATAGGATGCTTAACGTGTACGTTTAGAGTGCAGAACGTGTTCACGATTAGATATTCATTTATTTCTATTTTTTGAAGACATAATATTTCAAACACTTTATCATTACTTTGAGATCATTTGTTAATAATCTCAAAATAACTATGATAACATTTTTAACAATTTTTTGTTAATAATGTTTTTCTCTAATGGCAGAATATAATTAAATTTGCGTTTATTTGGATAAAAAAACACTGAAAAAAACATATGTTTTCAGTACAGAAATTGTTCTGCAATATGAACCTACAAAAAACATTTTTTTCAAAAAAGAGCTCCGGTAATATATTTTCTAAAAATCATCTGATCAGATTTCTGTGATTAAGAACAAAGTTATTGATGATTATTGATGATTAAGAACTAAGTAATTGGAAATATCAGAAAATTTATTTGTCCTTTTCGTAGAGATTTAACTTTCAGTGTCAACTCTATGAAAAATGCCTGTTCAGAGAAACAAATACGCGATATGAATCTTTTTACATAAGTACTAAACATATTTTTATTTGCTACTGATATCTTCTATTTATTAATTTGTTTTTTGTTATTTAATCGAACTATATTTGTAATTTCTACCTTATGCCATAAAAAAATAAAAGACATTAGAAAATTAGGCAAATATGATTAAAAAAGTTGTTAAAATGTAAAAATATTGTAAGTATAAATATTGTAAATGTTGTAAAAAAGTTTTAAAACTAAAATTTATCCCTTGCAGAGTCAACTACAAAAAATGTTCAAAAAGATTGTATTGGAAATAAATAATCAATTGTAAATTAAAAGCTGCCAGTAGATTACAGTTTAACTCAACAAACTCTCATGAGAGTTTGTTGAGTTAAACTGTAATGGTATACCATTAACAAATATCTAATACTAATGTTAAAATACTTATTTTGGCTAGAATATATTGAGTCCAGTAATTAAACGTCACAAATTTTCTTACGAACGTCGAGCATCTTAAAAATTAATTTTCTTCTAAAAAAATCTGTCAAAACAAGGGTTGTAAAATAAAATCTCAAATAAAGAAAAGTTTTTTGCACATTGCAAAGCATGTTTTTAATTAAGATTTGTACCGTACTCTCCTACATAAATAACCAAATTTTGATAATCATTGTCAAAACACTTTTTTCAATTTATAACAATACTCAGCGTGCACAGAACGTCCGCTGGAAGTCTTAAGGACGCCCTACCAATATGTGACGTCCACAAGACGTCGTGTAGACGGACGGTCACACGGACGTCTGTGCCTGTTGGGAAAAACAACATTCTGGGTAATGCGTAACGATGAGTTAATAATAATGGTTAGTTAAAAAGTTAAATAATGGTTAATTAAAATAATAAATAATGAAAATAAAAATAAAAAAAAATAAATAATGGTTAGTTAAAAGTTAGTAACTTAAATAGATTAAATAAAATTTTTGCACTTTTTTGTAATTTGCAGAACAACGAAAGTAGAAAAATTTATATTGCTGAGTAATTAACTTTATTTAAACTTTATATATTTTGTACTTAATTGTTTTTTTATTTACCAAAAAAAAAAAGCAATAGTTAGCAAAAAAGGGTGTTGAACTCTCTTAGCTCAAACATTAAGCAGCCGTGGCAGCCAGTGGTAGCACTTGCCTCCAAAACTAAGGATCCGTGGTTCAAACCCCACCTCTGGGCAAGTTTTGCGACATCGGTTAACAAGGAGGCGTGAACTTCCAATTAAATGCAGATCTGCGGTGCTCTGTGATAAGACCGTAAGGACTTCTTGGAGCACCTAAAATAAAATTAAAGTTAAAAAAAAAAAACTGGCACTTTTTCTTTACAAAAAGTAAATTAATGTTAAATAAACTATACGCTTTTTGCTTAGAATATTTTAATCAAAAAATCTTACAACACCTGCTTTTAAAAAAGTTTTTTTGTAGATATTTATATTAATAATTGAAAAAAAAAACACAAAAAAACATTTAAATAAAGATAATGCGATAAAGATTCAATATAAGTTATGCAATTTTTATTGATAATTTAGACATACTGAACAGTGACAAAGATTATCAATAATCTATACCACAGTTAAGTATGTATAATTTAAAAACATTAATGTTGAGAATCAAACATTATAACTCTTCTTACTAAAAATCTAAAGAAGATTTTTAGTCTACTATAGTTATGTTCCATTGCTATAGCATAACATACTTTGTTGTATAAATTTTTTCACGCACTAACTTAATTTTGCATAACATTGTACTAGTGTGTTATACTTTGTATAGCACACTAAATTAACTTTGTATAACATTCAAAGTAACCCCACTACATAAATTTTCATAAAGATAAAACAACTTAAAGATTTCCTTTGTCATGCTTTAAATAAAATAATATATACAAGTTTTTGATGGTAAAAATAACCACTGAATCTAAAGTATTAAAAGACGGCTGTTTTGTATCTTTACTATATAATTAAAAATAAAGTAATGAAAAATAAAATAATTACAAAAATAGTTGTTAAACTTGCACATGTCTTGCATACTTTCAAAAAATCATTTTCTCATATTTTATAGCACGATCTATCGTTATGTTTATCAATAGACTTTTTGCATAACGCACAAAAATTTAAATAATTCCTCCATTTTATAATTTTAGACTGACATAAAAACAATAAAACTACAACTAAAGTTATTTAATATAATACATAAATTAAATTATAAATAATAAATTTAACACACACAAAACATACACACAAACAAACACATATAAAAAATATTGTTCAAATGTAAATGTTAGTTTACAAAATTATATGTGAACAATTATAGTAATTAATATTTAAATGCTTCTTAATCTATGATAAAGTAAACAAAATTAAATTTTATGAAACTTTTGGTTTTATCAAAAGTATGAGATACTCTAAATTACATACATTGGCTGAAGGTTTGGTTAAGGAAGGCTCAAAGAAACCAGGTTGTCTTTGATACTTTTAATTATGCTTGCACACGTTAATGCGTCTCTTACTAAAAAATTATGCACTTGTCAGTATGTAAACAAATTCTAAAACTTTTCTTAGCTTTTAATACAAAACCTTTAATGCTTTTTTAAACTGGTCCAGTGTCTTTATTACTATGTTGCAACGTCGTTTGAGGTCAGCGGACGCTTATACTTGATCAACTCATCCAGATGATGGCATTTCAATTAATTTTTATTCTAACAATGAACCATTTTTTTGAATTTATTTTTTAACTTGGCAAACCCAAATCAAACGTGGCAAAGAAACGCTGTCAGCAGCTTCAATATCTAGTTGTGACGACGATGGTCTGTTACCTAAAATAAAAGTTAAATTTAGATTGAGCAAAATTAAAATTTGAAATAGCTGTTGCCCTTTCTTACAAACATTCCAAAAAATTTTAAATAACTTCCTATACTTTCTCTTTTGTAGACATCTTTTTTTTTTTTTTGCTGAATGAAGCAACGTCTAAAGAACAATGTTTTTTCACGATCAAAAAGATATAAAAAAAACTATTAGTAAGAATTCACATTTTTGTTGTAGTTAGAGCTTAGATTATTAAAAAAGATTGGCTACATGGTCAAAAATGCGTCATGTTGATATAAACAACAATGTAAAATATCTTCATTTCATCCTTAATCGAATAATGCATCTTTCAAATCTCTTTCAGTATTATCCCAGCAAACAATAGACGTCTTTTAGGCCGTCTAAAATTGGTATCTATTGCCGATACGTATATTTTAGACGTATATTAGAGATCAAAAAGACGTCTAATTCTAGAGAAACTATTTTTGCTCTGTTTTAGATGCATATTAGATGCATAAAATAGATCGTGTATAGATAATTTTTTTTTCATCTAAACTTAGATGTCTATAAGATGTCTTTTACAGATTTGTTATAAAAACAAGAAAAAAATTTTAATTAATTTTACGGAGCGATAGTGATATTCAGGAACTATGCCATCTTCAGATATTAAATTTTCAAAACCTAATTCAAAATAAAAAGAAGGTAAAAATACCACTTTCTAAAAGTAAAATTCCTTCCGAAGTTGAACGAAACTTGAAGTATGCAATAGAGTGCTGGAATGCAAAAGAGCAAAGAGGAGTTTTCAAGCAAATTCTAGAAAAAAACGTTTTTAAGCAAAGTCATCCGAAATAACTTTCTTATTTTTTTCTTTTTACCTTGTAAATTGGGTGTTAAATAAATAAAATAATAATAATTATTATAAATGACCGCCATTTAAAAACCCTGCGGAAACTTATTTCGAAAAAAGCATGTAGATTTTAACCTATGGAAGACATCAATGATTATTTCTTTATGATAAATTTTTAATAATAAAATAACATGCTATTATAG